CAAAAACCCCCTATTGAACAAAATAACATGCAAAGCAAAAACAATTTCAATGCAGAAAGAAGCCAAACAAATTGCAGTTTATGTGAAAAATGCAATTCGACACTAAGAAAAAACATGACTTTTGAAAAGAAATTCAATTAGTTGCATTTTGCCAACTATTATGTCTTTTATTTTGACAGCCATTGCCGGTTATCCATATATTGTATAACAAGACTTTTCGATACACATTTGAGAATACAAATTAAGCTTGCATTAAAAACGTTACATTAATAGTAAAGTAATTTTTTGTTTGCATTTTTGTAATGATGTAATTTGAAACTTGTAATGTTTCAGGCAAATGTTTGGCGTCAATGCTATCATTTATTCTTTTTTAACATTTCCGCAGTTTTATCTTAAATTTAGAACAAATAGATTTGTCACTTGATAACTATTTCTATACTCTATTATAACCGTCAAAATTTTTTTTTTAAAGAATTTGTTTTTGTAGTTAAAGGCAAACTAAAATTCTATTTGATTTAAACATTTTCTTAAAAATAATATTTAATTTATGTTAAAGATTTAAATAGTAATAACCTGGTCACTCTAAAATCTATAGCCAATTGCATTTTTACTTTATTATAACAGTACTACAAGAAAATTACCATTAACATTGTTATTTTTATTTTCAATGTTAATGCTAATACTTTTTTTAATAAATAATCCATGCGGTTAATGGTTACCAAATAAACACCTAATTTTTGCCTTCAACATTTTTTTAATATATTACAATTAAAACATTTTTATATTGATTTGTAGAACAAAATTTAATTTAAAACAAGTAAGAGTGTTATATTCGGCAATGCCGAATCTTATATACCCACCATCAAACCTCGTTTGACTAGAATGAAACTTACTTATGTCGAACTTCATCTATATACTCGTATTTTTTAGGCCAGTTATAAGCGTTAAAGTAATTTTCTGAAGGGGACCTTATATAGGGGGTAGGGTCAATTATGGGTCGATCCTAATAGAATTTGGTAGATAGAATTTGGTTCGTATTAAATTTATTTGTGTCGAATTTCATCGCTACACTCGTATTTTTAAGCCATTAATGAGCGTTGCAGTCATTTTCTAAAGGGGACCTTATATGGGGGGTAGAGTCAATCATGAACCGATCCGCATAAAATTTTTTAGATAGATTTTGACTCGTATGAAACTTACTTATGTCGAATTTCATCTATATACTAGTATTTTTAAGCCAGTAATGAGCGTTAAAGTCATTTTCTGAAGGGGACCTTATATGGGGGTAGGGTCAATTATGAACCGATCCTCATAAAATTTTGCATAATGATTTTGGATCATAAGAAACTTCCATATGCCGAATTCGTATTTTTAAACAAGTTATGGCTGTTAAAGCTGCTTTTCGAGGGGCCACTTGTATGGGGGCTATCAGAAAATGTGGACCGATATTGCCCATTTTCAACACCAAACAAACCTTACCTGTTAGAAATATTTATGTAAAATTTCAACCCTCTAGCTCTTTCCATTGGGACTCTATCGTGCTTTCAACAGACAGACAGACGGACGGACGGACGGACGGACAGACGGCTAGATCGACTTAGAATTTAATGACATGGCTAGATCGACTTAGAATTTAATGAGGACCCAGAATATATATACTTTTGTGGGTCTATGACCAATATTTCGATGTGTTACAAACGGAATGACAAAATCAATATACCCCCCATCTTTTTTGATGGTGGGTATAATAATTATTAGCGTGTTGTCTTTGCTATACCGTTACAATTATTTTGTATATACATAAATATTATATTTAAAAAAATAATAATAATAAAAAACTGAGTGTTATTATTAAGGATACTCAGTTAAAATTAATTTTAAATATAATTAAATGATATTCCGAATATTAATTTTAATTAGAAAGAAACTAATTAATAACAACATAATTCTATTCACTTAATTCCTAAATAAACTAACTCTTTTCAAATAGAAATACATATATTTTAAAGATCATTTTTATTCTGTGAAATTTCTCCTATAACAAATAGAATTGAGTTGAAAGAATGTTCAATTTAATTTAAAAATTTTAAAATGCTCTTAATTATATACCTAAATGATTGAATAATATGACTAAATTTCGACAGAAATGTTTGAATTGAAAAGAAATTTTATAAGAAGCTCCCCCACCCTCCCAAGAAATTCTTTTTTCTAATAACATTCAACACTTTTCGTCCAAACTTTATTTCAGTTATTCCTTTTGCATATGGATGAAATCCTACCACAAAGCCTTAAATACTTAAATGCTGTAGATAAAAAACAGCCTACTGGATGCTCAACTATTATTTTGAATGGTGAAAATGAACGCGTTTTAGCCCATACCGAAGATGCTTTAACAGAAACCCTCAACCATTACTATTTTGTGGTTGCACACATCATAAATGATACACCACAGGGTAAATATAATGTTAAGGAGGAACGTTTCATGTCCTTATGTTATGCTGGTCATTTGCCTGGTTATACAATGAACTACAATCATCATGGTTTGGTATTTTCAATTAACACTCTATCAGCTGAAGTCTTAAGAAGTGGTAAAATACGTAAGTATAACAAAAATATTAAGTGAAGGTATTTTCTTAATAATTATTTTTTAACCACCAGCTCGTCACTTCCTTACAAGAGCGTTGTTAAGCGCTGAAAACTTTGATCAAGCTTTAGACATTTTGAAAGATGCTGGCATTGGTGCTGCTGATGGTTGCTCCATTAATATTACTTTCCTTAAGTAAGGAAACATTCTTTAATATTTATTTCTTGCAATTAAATTTTATTGATTATTAAATATTTTTCAATTTTAAGCGATCCTTCCAAATTGTGCTACAACATTGAAATGGCTCCAGTTTTAGGTGATGCTAAAGAATCTCGTTTGGATATTAAGAAAATCGAGAAAGGCGAACACAACTATCATACCAACCAGTAATTTATTCCCAAACTAGATAATTTTCTAGATTGATTTTTAACAAATCTTTTTTTTATTATTTTTTTGTTTAGATATGAACGCATGGATATTGAACAGGCTAATCAATTGCAGGTCGATTCCAGTGTCTCACGCATGCATACCTTTAGTACTTATAAACCACCCCAAACTAAAAGTGATATTGTTGAAATGTTGGGCGATTGCAGTGGTGGTGAACATTGCGTCTTCCGTGAAGATGGAACTCTTGAACAATTGGTGAAAACTATTTGCGTGGGTGTTTTCGATTTGAATGAAAAAACTGTGGCTTTATATTCGGACAATCCACGTACTAATGAACCACAAGTTGTATTGCCATTGATATTGAAATAAGTTTTAGAAAATTCCAAATGAATACATATTTTTAGTTATGTATTTCTGTTCTGTTTATTGAATTAAATTTTAAAACATTGTTGTAGTGTTTAAAAAGAGTATTATTAAAATTAATATTTTAATTAATAAAATAAATATTTTAATGTTTAAGCCGAAAATTTTTTATTAAAATGGACGTACTTTACGCAGGAAAAATTTTAATTAAATAGAGAAGAAAATGAGTTTTGAAAAATGAAAATAAAATATTAACTAATTAATACCTTTACTAGAAAGAACGAAATTTATATTTTCCGTGGGAACTGTAGAAACTTCAATTTTAAAGCCACCTAAATGTACATATATACACACATATTTTTTTCTGAATTAATGCAAGAAAATATTAATAGCTATGTACATATGTACCTTGTCTTGACTTCCAAACCCCTTTCACTGGAAGATTGCTATGTTTCAATTTTGAAAATCCTGAATACATGTAGTTTACTAATATGAATATCCATTCAATACTTACTTTGAAGAATGTTCTTTCTATATATAGACTCGGCTAAATTTACATTTCAGCAAACATTTTTTCATAATTCGCACTAAATTGTTTCATCTTCCTCAGAACTAAATGTCACAAATTTTGAAGCACGGCTTTATTTTGATAACATAAACAATAACAAACAAATAGTCCTCACAGTAAATTGCAAATTATATACATATTTTTATTATTACAATATTTTAAATATTTGCAATATTTTATTTTGTTATAATCAAGTTTTTTACGACACATTTTTAACACGATAATAGACTTCATCACAAAAACGTAAATCAAATGAGCGGGATAAATATGTCAAACTAACGAAAAAAACTGTGAATCAAAAAAAATACGAATTAATGTACTAAATTACTGTTTTTTTTATTTTAAACCGATATTTTAAAACATGAAACGGTAAACTTTTCATAATTTATTCATTAAACGTAAAAATAAAACGATTTTTCAGTTAAAACAATTTAACACCTGTAATAAACAGAAATAGGCAAATAAAAAAACAATTCACAATAAGAACAACACTACAGTTGCCATATTATGTATAAAAAACGCTTACAATTTGCTTTCTGTCCTAATATGATAAATTTTGGTCTTTTAGCAAATCATATAAACATTTGTAATATATTTTATGTTATTAAAACATTTAAGAACAACAGAAAAAAAGTTCTAAATTTGCAAACTAAAGGAGGAAGTACACAATATGCGACAACGTGTAATAGGCTTCTGTCAAAAAAGTTGAAATACTGTATTTTAATTTAACAAGTTACATACTGTAGTTTGTAACGCGTCTGCCGCAAAAAGTTCAGCAATTTTCAACTTTTTACACGTCGGTAGCTGATCAGGGTTGTATTTTGTTTTGTGCAAAATAAGAATAAACTAAAATTTCACCAACAATGAAAGACCAATATTAAAAAATAAACAAAAACGTAAAATTTTGATTTTTAAAACAGTTATAGTCTTAAAAGATTTATCAAAATGACGCGTGGTCTGTAACTTGCAGCTTGTAAAGCGCGAAAAATTTAAAAAGCGTAAAACGCACTGCCGCCTTAACGGGTGTTGTGTACTTCCACCTTAATAATGACAATGACGCTAATCATCTGGCAACTCTAAACTTAAAGGACAGCTGCTTGTCACAAAATAAAAAACATAAACAAAAACATGTTTATTATTGTTATTGGTTTTTCAATTGTAGTGCAAAAAATTGCTTAAAAATTAGTGAAAAAATTAATAAAAAATGAAAATAACTTGTCGAATATGTAAAATACAACAAGGAGAATTCTTTACGCTTGATAGTGTAGTACCTGTTTATGGTCAAATGGAACACAAGCTATTGGAAATATATAATAAATGTTTTCAATTGAATGCCCAACAACAAGATGCTTTGCCGCAGGTGGTGTGTTTGACGTGTTTAGAAAAATTAAAAGAATTTTATGAATTTCGATTGAAAGCTGAAAAAACTGACTTGGAATTAAGAAAAGTTTTACAAGAATCCCAAAGGCAAGAAATAAAATCTGAAATATTGGAGAGATATCATCAGCAAACGCCGGATAATATAAATATATATATAAGCGAAACAAATAATGCATCGCTAGCAATTAAACCAGATTTGGAAGACGAAGTTATTACCACTGAAGATGAATACGAAGATGATGAGGAACGTTATGAAAGTGATGCCAAAACACAACAACAGGAAGACGACGAGGAAGAAGTTGAAGATACTGATATTTTATTTGAACTATACAATAAGAATGATAGTTGTATGGAAAACTATCTAAATTTTGATAAACAGGAAGAGGAATCAGAAGAAATAATTGAAGAAGACTACAACAGTGATCATGTGGAACATGATACTGAAATTGAAATGAATAATACTCTAGCCGACGTTATTAATAGTGCTGAAATAGAAAGCAATAAAATACAATCAAATTATACTCCATCATCAGATGATATTGAGGCAATAAATTTAGAATCGCAAAAGAATATGCCAATCGTAGAAATTACAAGACTTCAAGTACCATTACAAACTGGTCAAATTCAGACAATAATGTTGGATCCCTTGGTTGAAAGTAGAAAATGGCAGTGTGCTGATTGTGGACGCAAATATTTGACAGAAGAGAAATTGGAACAACATCGTAAACTGCATAATCAATCAGAGGATTGCCAGTGTGAAATATGCGGTTAGTATAAAATTTAATCTTAAAATGATTTGTTAGTATTATCGTCATTTCTAATTTCTGTTTAGGTACTCATTTTAAGACCCTCTATGATTATCGTGAACATATGAAGACGCATGGGACGGAACGTAAATTTTCTTGCGAATATTGCGACAAGGCATTTTCTACTCGCGCCAATCTAAAGGCTCATCTATACATTCACACCAATTTACGCCCTTTCAAGTGCGAAATTTGTGGTAAAACATTCCAACAGAAATCGATTTTAAAGACCCACATGACATTGCATACGGGTAAACCATTTGAATGTACTCTCTGTCATCGACGTTTTAGTCGAACAGCTCATCTTAATATCCATATGCGTCAACACAATAACATACGTCCATATCAATGTACCGAATGTCCGAGCTCCTATATGCAAAAGTCGCATTTAGATCGTCACATATCTAGCTCACATTTGGGTGTACGCTTTCAATGCACTATATGCGGTAAAATGTACACTAAGAAGCCGTCCTTGAATACTCATATGCGTGAAGCACACTGTACAACGGTGTCTTTATACAATTGTAAAATTTGCGATTTGGATTTTGCAAAACAAAAAGGGTAAGTTCAGAAGAATGTTCTCTTTCGGTTTGTTATTATCAAGGCAAGGATTTCCATGCAATAAAAAATTAAAATATGTGCTAAAAATGTTTCAATCTTTATTACCGATATATTTAAACAATTAATGAAAAATTAGTTCACACTTTCAAAAATATTTAAAAATTTCATGAGAAAGAAAGATACAATGAAAAAACTCAACATATGGGTTGAAGACTTCGTATAATTTGATGACAATAGAATTCGAAATTAGTACTCCTATGGTTAGTCACATGGAAAATGAGACTACTGGTCTTGGTTGTAGTCGTCCTGCGAGAAAACCTCTTTGTTTTAGAAATAATCGTTCTACTCGTCTACTCTTTGCCAAAGATAACATAAAGTGGTCGAATTAATATGAAATAATGTACTTTTTTGGAGGTGTCCAAATTTAGATTTAGAGGACATTTGTAATGCGGCCAAAGGGGAAAGATACTACACCCGAAGAATATCAAGTTAAGCGGTGGCAAAATTATGGTATAGAACTGGGCAAGGTATTAGTCGAATTCAATTATAAAAAGATATATACAGTGTCTCTCATAAGTATTCGAATTTAATGTATTATGAAAATAAACATCATTTTATAATAGATCTTGTGGGAAAAATAAATAAATAAATTTATTATGTTGTTCAGACAGTCCTTAAATTTTATACCAACCACATTTTAAAAATTTAAAAAAAAAAATAATTTACTTAAACTAATTTAACTTTTTTTAAAAAAAAGTGCAAAAAATAGCTTCACAAAAGTATTCGAATTTTTTGTATAAATCATATTTAGATTAGCATTATGAAGTAAAAATAAATAATTAAAATGAAATTAATGTTTTGTATAGTAGTCTTTGTTTTTAAAAACAACTTCCAAGCGTCGTGGGACCGTTTCTACCAATTTATGGAATAGTTCTGGCGTTATTATGTCCCATTCTTCATGCAAAGCAACCGTTTGGTGGTTTTAGAGGATAATGAGTGATTTAAAAGTTGTTCTTGTAAATATAACCACAAATTTTCAATGGAGTTTAAGTGCAGAAATTAACTCCATTGAAAATTTGGTGAAAGAAGATACTTAGTGTTGTAAATGATCAACATTTTCAAGTACCAGGTCGTTTATTTTGGATCGCTTTTCTGTTGAAAAATAAATTGAATGGGTTGTAGCCCCATTTTGGTGGTACTAGCATGCAAATTCTGCTATAAAATTGACAAGTGGACCTTCTAGTCTATAATTACAATAATAAATTTTAGTGGTCCAACACCGTGGACGGACACAGAACCCCAAAATATGGCAGAGCAACTTGGGTCCTTTACAGTTGGTTTTAAGTTAGATAACTCCAAGGCATCTCCAAGCTTTCGCCATATCATTTGACGACAATCTGAGCCAAAAATATTATATTTGTACTAATCGTCGAAGATAACCTCCTTCCAGAATCCAATATTCTTACTTATGAGTCTATTTGCGGAGTCAAGACACTTAACATCGATTAACTTCGATATGAGCGGTTTCCACCTTGGTACTTGACCATGCAAATTATTGCTCCCTAGTACTTTGCGCACAACTTCGACACTAATTTTTATTCACAGGACTGTCCTGAGTTCGTTGTTAATTTTTGGAGCTGATAGATGAAGGTTCCTTCGGTATTTCCTCAGTATTTCTCTGTCGTCCTGTATTGACAGTAGTTTTGGACGACTTAATACTGGTAAATACTCGATGGAATTCTTTGTTCCATGCGTGTAATGACAAAATATATTGTCGATGGGAATCTATCAAACATTTCCTATATGTATTTACTTGAGCGGCCTTTATTATACAGATATAAATTAATTTTTTAATTTGAATTGATCAACTCTTTTTCTTTGAAAATTTTAAGCGCTTACACTGGAAGGATTTACAACATAATTATGCAAATTTCCAAAAAATATAATGTTAAATATTCCATATAACCACTACTTGCATAATAGGTTAATTAATGGGCAATAAAACACGTGTTCAAGGATTCTAAAAAAGTTCTGAGAAAAAATTCGAATATTTTTGGGCAGTACCTGAAATGACCCTTTTTGGGTTTTTTCCATTTTCTTGGAAACCATTAATGAGTTTTTATTACTTTTTTCTTGTATTTCGTAAAAATAATATAAATTAATAAAATTTCATTAAAAAATTTTAAATACTATTATTATTTTTAAAGTAGCATCATAAAATAACACAGTAATTCATAAAAAATAATAAATTCGAATATTTATGTGAGACACTGTATATAAAAATATGTGGTATAAGGTAGAGATCCATTAAAAAAACATAAAGTTTCCTCCGCTGTTGAAACTAGGCTCGTAGTTTGGAGATTTTAAAAGCAAAATTACCCTAAAAGCCAACTTTTGAGTTGCAATCGTGTAGTTAGACTCGAAAGTCATACCTGTATTGAAGTGGTCTGCCTATTTTCCATATATTAACCCCACAGAAAATCTATGGGAACCAGTAGTTCGAAGATATGGACTTAAAAATCGTCCTTCCATGAAATTTTTGACTCAATTATTGTTTCAATGCATCTCCGATGTCAAGCAGCAATAGAAAGTAAAAGGTACCCAACCATATTCTAAGTTACTGACAAGTTCTGACTGTTTTTGTTAAGATAAATAATACCAAAGTTTTTTCCATTGTTTTGTCAGTAACAGAAAACCAATTTCTTTTTAACCTTGTTTTATTTTTTCAAAATTTAGTTAATTATATTCATAGAATTTTATTAATTTGAATAAATAAGGATATATATATTACAAAAGAAATTCCAAAAAAAAAAAAATTAAAATTTTTTAATAAAGTTTTGCGTTTTGAGTCCGTTTGTGAAAATTTAGAAAAAGTTTCCATTGTATCACTTTAAAAGTCGGCAAAACTTAGTAATATATAAGTCTCAGTATTACTGCGGATTTCGCAATGATCGGACCTCATTTGACCCTATCCCCCATACAAAGTGCCCTTCAGAAAATGACTTGATGGTCAAAATTCACTTACAAACACTAATATATATCATGATGATATTCTGTATAAATATCTAGCCTAACTCCCTCTACCAAAATTGATAAGGATAGGATCATATTAACCCCCTGCCTCCTCTCATTTAGAAAATCCATTTTTTGCCAACAAAAATATTTGTGAATTTAGGTAAAAATGAAATTAAATACTTTATTATTAAAAAAATAATCAACATTTTCAACATAATCACTGGTGTAGGATATCATATGGTCGGCCATGTCCGACTATAAATTCTTGTTATTTATCTAATTAATATTCGAGTAAAACTGAGTTTTAGTTTTACGTTTACAATAAAAAATCGTTGTTACAACGAAAATAATGGACATATTTGAAATTTGATAAATCTATATGAAAGACTTAATTTAGTATGACTGACGCATGTTTTGTAGCCAGTCAGCCCTCAGTTCAAAAAACACAAATCTTGCTTGGATTATGCCAGTCTTGTAGCAAATGAGCGATGGATGGATGGATGATATATGCATTTGCATAAAAACCATTGTTCTGGTTATTATTATATATTTTGTTCATTTTGTATTTACAAAAAAAATATAATTTGGACTTACTTTATAAGCAAAGTTTTGAAAAAAAATCTAAAACAAAACAGTTATGTATTTTAACTGTATTTTTTATCGCGTTACTCTTTAGGATAACGTTATCCTTAGTACGCAAACGTGACAACTCCTTTTCAGAAAATTAGAGGAGAAGAACAATTCGTATACACTCACTCAGGTCTCGATTTATGCGGATTCAAACTACGCGGTTTTCTAATGAAAGATTTTTTTAGAATTTTAACAGATTTTGGAATTTTAGATGTTTTTTTTAGCTTTTTTTGTCGTATTTAAATTGGTAAAATATATCCTCAACACAGTTAATGCCATACAATATCAAATTCTAAATGTGGATCCAAGGCGGACTGACTGACCTGTTTTCCGGATATCAAGAACAATTTAAAAATCTCAAAGTTTGATGACAAACTATTTTGCAAGCAAAAAAAAAAAAAACAATTGAAACTCCTAAAAATTCTTTGATCTCGTCGTCCCCTATTCATGAGATATGTTAGTTAATTCTAGTGATGAAAAGATATTATTTTACCATATAATGGCAATATGATTAATTATATCATTTAGTGATGAAAGTGATGATAAACCAATTTCAAAATGATTCATTGATTCAGATTAATAATATTAACAGAATTTAAAAAAAAAAACGTTTCAGCTTATTTTTGAATAATTTTCTTTTCTTTCTTTATTAATGAATTAATATTAGTTGTGTTTTGTTGCTATCAATGAGTGTTAACGCTTAAAGTTAGCAACAAAACGAACATTACCTGACTTGGCATCACTCCACAGAAGAAATCTGCTAAATCTTGAAATTATTTACAATTTCTTGAAAAGGTTTTTTTATTTGGTAATTTTCTTTGATTTAAATTTTATTTTAAAATATTTTTTTATTGTTTGACATAAACACATTAATATTTGTATTTTTATTTTTGAATTGGTAGCACTTTTATCAACGTTAACATTAACTTGTATAATTTTACACGTTAACTCCTAACGTTTATAAATTTTAAATTTATATGAAATTGCCTTTGAACGTTAGCAACAAAACACAACTATTATTTTTTGTTTATTTTTTTTTTTTTCAAAATTAAAATAAAAAATGAAAATATTTTTGTTGATTTTTTTTCTGCGATTCTTCTTGATTTTTTAATTAAAATTTGAATTTATGCGGTTTTCAGAATTTTGGAACGAATCATTAGGTTTTATATGAAGCTAGTAGAGTAATTATCTTTTTATGCGAATTTAATTTACTCGATTTGTTTTGGAACGCATCTACGCATAAAACGAGACCTGAGTGTAAAACTTTGCTTGTTTATTACTACATATTTTTAAAAATTATAAACGCAGTTTCTTTCTTTCATTTCTCGATTTTCAATACACATTTCGAAACAATTTAAAATAAATCCGTTGGAGACGGTTTTCTTCTTCTCCTGTAGATTTATTGAATAAGGTCTCTACTTTTTCGGTTACGAGGCTGACACAGACAATAAGGGTTTTGTTTTTAAACGTTTAAAAACCTCGCAAACTGTGCAATTTGTGAATTTACAACTTTCCATTGAATTGTATGTATCACAACTGAGATAAATTTGATCGCCTATTTATTTAACTGGTAAACTTACACTAATTTTATCTTTTAAATATATATTACAGTTAGTTTACCCATTTGTGCAAATGTGCAAGATTTCACAGGTGTTGTGTTTACATGAATGCCCTAATTAATATATAAACTGCACAGTTTTTTACAGAAAATAAAAAAAAACATCACAGAAATGCGAGTGAGAGAGACAGACGCAACACCGTCGAAAGCCAGACAACAAATACAAACAAGCCTGGACGTCCTTAAAAATAATGTCGAGGACGCGAGAGTGTCTCCCTCCAACTCTCAAGACCAGTCTTACGATTGAATTTAATGCTTTGTTTATGGAAAAAGTTAGGAATAAGAAAGACTAGTAGTATAAATGACACCCATGTTCAAAACGTCAAATTACTTACCAACAAAGAACGAAATCAACTATTGTGAATGAAAAGAAGGAATTTTAACGATAAAAAAACTATAACGGACAGCTTTTAAAAAGTTATAAAAGAGCTTTCAAAAAGCTTTAAGCCTTTTGAAAAAGCTGTAAGAGCTTTACAAAAAATATTTTAAAGCTTTACAAAAAAAGCTTTAATTAAGAGCTTTGAAAAAAGCTTTAGGAGCTTTACAAAAAATATTTTAGAGCTTTACAAGTTTCAAAGCTTTATAAAAAGCTTTAAGAGCTTTAAAAGCTTTTTATTTGACATAACGGTTTTTGTGGTGAATTTCTTTTTTCACCACGATTTCGAAATTCACCACACCCACTTATATTCACCACGGATTTGTAAACTCACCACACTTTCGCCAGCCAAAAAATAAAATTCTGATCTAACCGGGGGGCCCAACACCGTCCGTCCCGTGTGGCCCTTTCCTTCCTCCTCTCCTCCTCCTCAATCAAAATCATTAAAATTCACCACCCATCCATCCATCAACAATCCCACTTACACCAACAAACACCACCCACCCCCTTCTTTCTTCTCTTCTCCTTCCTTCTGTTCTCCCTCCCCACCTCCTCCACAACACTCTTCTTTCTTTCTCTCCTCTCTCTCTGTCTCTCTCTCCTCTCCACGCCTTCCTTTTTTTTATTCTTTCTGTTTTGTAACGAAGCACTTGGGACGTTCTATATATACAAAGTTTGTGGAAAAAAAGATTATGGGAATTATAAAAAAAAACAAACGAAAAAATGCATCAATCAACAACAACCACCACCACACACACAAACCACGCAGTCCGGTAACATCATCACCCGCCGCCATTTTGTTTTTTGTGTGTTGTTTTGGTGTGTGTGTTGGGTTGGGGTTTGTTTGTTGTGTGTGTTGTTATTATTGTTGTTGTTTTTTTTATGTTAGTTTTGGGGTGTTGTTGTTGTTTTTGTGTTGTTGAAGAAGGGGGAGGGGGGGAAAAAAATTTGTTTTTTTTTTGGTGGGTTGTAATAAAAAAACGCAAAAAAATATATTTTTTTTTTGTTTTTTTTTTATAAATAATAAATAATAAAATTTAAATTATAATAATTTAAAATTAATAATAATAAATAATGATGAATGAAAAAAAAGTATGTAAAAAAATAAAAAAAATTACATTGCCCTCTGTGAGGTTTGAACTCACGACCCCTGGTTTACGAGACCAGTGCTCTACCACTGAGCTAAAAGGGCTCTGAGGCCTGTTGTGCCAGAGTATTTATATAAGATTAAGAGAAGTTACCACTTCATAACAATTTAAGACAGGGGTGTTTAAAATTTCATAAACAACATGCAGAATTGCCACATTGTTATAAAAACAGATAAATTAAATTTAAATTAGAACAGTCTGTTTCTTTCTTAATTAAAATATTTTAAACTACTTACTCTATTTACCAACGCAAAAGGCATATAATTTATGTATTATTCTTTTTTCATTTCAGATTATATTATCATCTAAAATCCAAGCATCCCGGTTATAATAAAAATCAAATGTAAAAGAAACAAAGTGGAATAAAAAAACGTAAATTGTATGCAATCTATAGTTTAATTAAAATTTTATTTACATTAATATGTATATATATGAAAATGTAGTAGTAGTAGTATTTATTACAAATTAAAGGCTTAAGAACTAGTTGAAAAAATATTGTTTTTATTTTTCTTAAATTCCTCTCCTTACTGGTTTCGGTGCAAATAATATTTTTGCTGGTTTACACAACTCCAATTCTGTCCCAGGTCGCACTGCCAGACAAAGTGTTATCTCCACAGAAGAGGCTTCGGTCCATACCGAATGAGAGAGCAAGATGGTAGTTCTTAAACGCACATTCGTTTCATGAGCACCCTGTTCGGTCATTATTTTCTTAAAATCCGACAACTTCGGCACAACTGTGTGCAAGTGCTGATCAGGATATTTAATTTTTATGCGCATATCTTGCTTTTGAGACTCTTGTAGATTATCGATTTCAGCTACAAACGGTAGAGCAGCAATAAGGCCTGCGGTTACTTTTATAACATTATCTTGTGACATTTGCGGACATGGTTCCAATATATTGGCCATACACATTTTAATGTTGACATTAGCTGGAGGCATGCTTACAGCCGAAGGTTTTTGCACGAGAGGCAAAATTTCTCGAAATACTTTTCCCGGCTTTGGATCAACAATACTAGACAACTGATTGAGTAGTAGAGTGGTTAAGGAATCCGGCTGGGATTCCTGTTTTTCATCTAAGAAATTACTGATGTCAGAGGCGGTTTGTAATAACATTTGACAAGGACCCAAGGCGCTTTGAGACCTATCACGCACTACCAAAACCAAATGGAGAGCACTGGCCCTTAAGCAAATTTGTTTAACCAGCAACATATCGCTATAGGTAAGTCCCGAAAATATATGCTGAAGTTTTAGACAATTACGCACCAATTGAGCCAGAGATTCTTTAAGCGGAGCTCTACTATGCTGTGAAGTGGTGCAACTTTGCAATTGTTCAATTTGTATTTGAGCAGCTAAGAAAGTTTCCAAAAAATTTGCTGTGCCCAACATTTCGGGATCAATTTCACCCAGGCGCTGCAAATAAGAATTTACAAATATTAGTAACAATTTTTCATTGTGATATTCAAATTCACTTACCTTCAAATTGTCTTGGGCCGTTTTCAATAGAGGTACCCGATCCCGGGCTATGGAAAATATATCATTTATATGAGCCAATATGGTTTCCAAATACTGTCGTGAATTATTTGAACCGTTTAAATCATCCATGGGCTTTTTCATGGAAGCACCTTCTATAGGCAGTTGCGGCACTAAGCTCGGCATAGCATCACGCAAATATGCGTAATGTTTTAGGGTCACATCGGGAAATAGACTTATAATGGGTACCAAATTTGCAGCCGCATTAAATAACAAAATTAAAATACACAAATAGGCGGGATCTTCGACATCCCTTTCAGCACTATCGAAAAAGGGATGATCCTGCAAAAGATGCGACGTAACAGCTAAACAAAGGTTTGGATGCTTTTGTCCCACTTTGCGCATGCAACCAAAGGCAGATAGCTTATCCTGGGGATATTTCGAGAGGACATCTAATAATTTTTGCACCACCATTAGAAGACAAGCTTGAGTAGAAACACGACAAGCACCCAACATCAAATGCAAACCTTCACGTACTTCTACTGAGAAATCTTCTAAAGAAGATAGCATAATTTCCAATTGATCTTCACGCAAAACAATATGCTTAGCTATGGCGGTCAAACTGTAGATGGCCTTGAGACGCACCTCCTCAATTTCATCATTAAACATATCGACCAAAAAATCTAAACAGGTTACCGCAAAATCCGGATGTTTTAGAGCCAATTTGCACATAGAATCAACGGTAGCAATGCGCACTTCTAGAAACTCATCCTCTAACCCATGGACTAAAGCTCCACAAGCACCACTGGCTATGAGGGAAATGGTATTGGTATCCAATTGTTCTTGAGGGGCATCATCAGCCCAACGTTTTCCAGAAGACCATTCACCAGAGGCCACCAATTGAGCACCCCTTTCATGGGCAGTTTTCTTACGTCTCAAATTGCTCATCAGTTTTTTGTCCAATGTTTGATGTAGAAATTCTGAACTCACCATGGTCATGTCACCCAAATGTTCGGCAGCTTGTACACGTATCTGTATACATAAATCGCATAATGCAGCGCATACTTTACTAAAAGCCGCATCCACTAGACGCATTTCCTCCTCATCTTCCGTTCCACACGATATCATATGGTCGGGGTGGTTAATACCCAATTTAAAGACCAGTTGCAAAGCCTGTTGGCGAACACATTCGTAGTCATCTTGCATTGCCGCTACAGCACGTTTGTATAGGGATGGAGACAACACTGCTCCCCTATCGCCCAAACACAGAATAGATCTTAAACTTTGTGCCCTTACACCCGAATCCTGAGAGTCTGCATAGTGTCCTATGGTGTCAATGACACCCTTTTTAGCATCTGTTAAGGCCACAAATGCTGACAATACCATCAAGGCATTCTTTTGGGTTTGATGTGATTCCGAGCACAACTGCTGTTGGGCAAAATGAGCCATTTTTGTAATATGCATTGTGGGTAAATGCTTCAAGTTCTTGGCACCAATCTTATGTAGACTGCAAAGACCTTGAGCTATCACCTTTTGCGATTTTTCATATTTCAATACACCTATGATTTCATCAATCAAGGCATTCACCACCTCTGCCACACGTACTTCTGCAAAGTCCGCCAGCAAACCGAGTATCATTACGCGAACCGTCGTATCACCATCACGTTCTTGGCGAAAAATATCAATTAACTTGTTGATGGCCTCATGGAATTCGGAAATTTCACAATCATCAAGCACTAGTTCATCCGCAATTTTTACTAACAATTCTAAGAGCTCTTTGTTGTTTTGTGGTGAGATTGTTCCCAATAAGTTTATGGCTTGCTGGAGTTTGTTGGTTGCCGATACATTTTTGCTGGTGGTTTGTATACGAATTTTCTTATGTGGAGGCTGTTGGATACATTCTACAGTTTCTGTTACTGATAGTGGGCGTTTAACCGCTACCGATGTACTAGCCATGTTGGTTGGCTTTAATTTAAAATAAATGAATTAAAATTTCTTATTTTATAAAATTAAAGCATACAATATTTCACAAGCGGCATCAGAAAAAGAAAAAAACACAATGGAAATAAATTAAATCAACAGCTGATGGCAGTGCTACCATACTGTTTATCCGCTACAATTAAAAAAACGCTGTAGCATTAAACATATGGTAACATTAAGTGTGTGGGAAATTGAAGCATAAACAAAACACAGTGGTCTTGAATAAGGTTTTTTTGGGAAATAATACAGATATTGGCGTATAGGTATTCATTTAAAGTTCAAAAGATATTCAGCATTCATTTTTGTCAAGTTTTTAAACGCATTTACAGTTGGAATATATATGTAGCCCCAATTTGAATAAAAACTGTTAGGGCCATTCATACAACACCATTGATATAATCGAAACAATACTTTTCATCCAATATAACATAAAAATACAAATAAAAAGACACTTTACTTTAGTGGGACAAAATTAACTGTCGTCATTCTTTATAAACCTAAAAATAATTACAATGCATTTTGTAACCAAATTTTTGTTATTTAACAAAATCCATGGAAATGTTGAAAATATTCCAAATATTCTTAACTAATAGATAAAAAGAACTATAAGTCAAATAGTAGTTTGTTTGTGTGTGTATAGTGGAAACGGTCCTAATCTTTTCTTCGTTTTTTATCCGAACTACCACCAGAACGATCACTTTTATCTTCGCCTCTCTTTGGAGCTTTTTTAGCCATGTTCAAGAACTGATCGAGACCGAAGGGATCCTCTTCTTTTTCAAATTGAACAGGACCACTACGTGAAGGTGCACCACTACCACCGGCTCTCGATGTACCCGAGAATTCTTTGTCGGGAACGAAGCGTTGAGTATTTACAATACGATCTAAGTCGGCACCATAGGCGTCATTGTCAGCTTGTTTACTTGGTCTATACAAATGATTGCCCAAAGAGTTGGCCTCACGCCAAGGCTTATCATATACATTGTAAGCTTCATCATCGCCATAACCGGAATCCATGCCTTTAGTAGTATTGAAAAGACGCTGGTCGAATAGTGCCTCACCGGTGCCGGCTGACTTGGCAGGCATACCGAGGGCAATTTGTTCTGAAATATCACGCTCGCGCTCTTTTTGTAATTTGGAACGCTTGTCAGGAGCTGCCCGTGCCAAGTTGCGATCACGCTGTCTCTCACGATGTCGCTCTGCACGTAGTTCATTGCGTTCTCTGGCCTCAGCACTTGTACCGGGAGCTTCCTCTGTGGGATTACGTATACCAGCACGTTCTTCTCGAGCTCTCTGGGCCATCATACGTAACATGTCCTCCTTCTTTTCCTTTTCTTTCTGTGCCAATTTCTTCTCCAATTGAGCTCTGGCCTCAACAGCTTCACGAGCCTTACGATCGGCTATATATAAAGCTTCAGACATTTTTGCGAATTTTTCATTAATATGAACTTGCTGTAAACCTCTACCATCGGCAGCTAATCGCTTATCTAGAGGAATGGTATAACCTTTAGCATTTTTCCAATTCGATATACAAGGAGGAATTTTCCACTCTTTTTGTTCTTTGACGGTGACTTTACGCGAAGGCGAATGTAAAACCGGTGCTGGAGGTGAGGGTGGTCCTCTAGGTATTTTCTTATTAATACGAAATTTAGGTGGTTCCATGGGATCTACTTGCGCTTCCACCATACGTATAATACGCTGTTTGGCACCGGAATTAAAAGCATCACCTTGTTGTGAAGGCGTGTAGCGGATATACTGTGCTGGAGCACCCTTTTCTGCATGTCTGACGGGCATGGCAGCTGCTATTTTTTGACTAGTCAACTTTTCCAAAGCTCTCCTTGTCTCTTCAGTAGTATCAGCTATTGTCTCGGCATCTGGCCTTTGTAATTCCTCTGCATCCTCTGATAAAACCTCAGCAGGCAATAATTGGGAAATGGATGAATAAACTATTTTATCTTTGCCATGTCCTTGACGTGCTATGGCATCATATTTAATTTTTCCCTTTTCATCTAAACGTACGGCCAAAGCATTGGATTTTTTACCCAAATTTGCCGGTGCTCCCATACCCAAAGGATATTGAGCTACATGTATTTCGGGAAACGCACCACCATCACCGAAGTCGGCTTCTGTTCGCGGTACCCAATCCTTGCGTTGGCCATAAGGTGGTGCAGCTATTTTAGCCGATACTAAGGCACCTATTTTAGGAGCCCCTTTAGCAGCCACGCGTCTTTCATCTTCACGATCCCACACCGCATTTGTGGGTGTAGGTAACAGACTAGACAAAGACATTTTGCAAATAGTTGAAATTACTTGCTATTTCGCTAATTTTTCTATGAATTTTTTATTAAAACACGAATTTTAATCGAAAAAAATTTAAATTACACACAACAATGTAATAACTAGTGAAAAAGAAAAATGGAGAATTGACGTTTGTTAAAAAATATTGTCAACAAAGTTAGCAATGTTCATAAGAGGGAATGGAACGAAGTTAAATGAAACAGAAAACAGTGTTGATAAACGAATGTGTTATATTTTGAAGAGAACAACTACTTTAGTCGATAGAATGCGTTGTTTTTAACAAAAAATGGTTTTGTTTTTTTTTTCCTAGAAAACAACAAATAATACTTTTAAGAAATTATTTTATTTAAGCAATTAATTTTTCAAAAAAAAAAAATATTGGTTTAAAATAAAATTTATTTTTTTTTACTAATTTCAGTTTAGAATAAAAATCGAATTTACACTTCTATCAAAATATTAATATCTATGATAAATACGTGTTAATTTTGAACAATAATTGTTTGTTTGGAAAATAGATATTTTACATAAAATTTAATTTTTCATAAAAAATGTTTCAAAAAAATCTTTTTTATTCAATTTTTACTAAAAATTCAATTCTTCACAAAAAATTACATCTAATTTTAAATTAAAAATTAATTTAAATTTTTAAATAAAAAAAAAAATTTTGACCCAAAATTAGAAAAAATTAAATTCAATTAATGAGTAAAAAATTTATTTTTCACTAAAAACTAAATTGTTTACAAACAATGAAATATTTGTACTAAAAAATACTAAAACTAAAATATATTTTACTAAAATGAGCCAAAAATATCCGCTAATGACAAAAGATTAATCTTCTAATCGGCTTTTAACAAAATAAAATTACGAGTAATTTATAATCTTTCTTATTTTTATTTTTTATAGTAAATTATTAAATTACTTGTAGATTTTCAAATACAATAAAGTTTTTACAGTTTTAACGGAAATTTTTAAAAATAAAAATGCAACAAAAACAAACGTTGACAGCCATGTGCACCAATCAAGTGTAAAACAGTTATCAGCTGATGGAATAGATCCACCTTACGTTGATACACCATAGTATTTAGCACAAAGTATGGTATTTAGTTAGAAAAGTATCTTTCAGTTTGCAAATACTTTAAAATACAAAAACGCACGGATAAAAAAATCGTTTATTTAATTTTAAAAGTTCTTACTTTTTACGATGTCGTCTTCTACATCAACCAGCTGTAGGGCATGTCTAAGAGAATCATTGGAGAAATCTTATTTTGAAATGAATAAACAATGTCATTTCTCCTCGGATGATCGTAATTTTGTCGATATTTTTAATTTTTGCACACATCTTCAAGTAAAAATAAATGATGGATTTCCCCAAAGGATCTGTAAAGAGTGTGCTCAAGATTTACAACAAACATACGAATTTTTACAACGGGTCTTGTCAAGTGATAAGAAATTAAATGCCTTAAAACGAGATAATGAAGTTTATTGTCATGATAATGATGTTACTATTAAAGATCCTTTAGAAAATGCTACAGACAATGAAGAGACTTTAGATAATGTAAAAAACCAATGAAATTTTCCAAAATGTTTAAGGGATTTTAATATTTTACATTTTTTAGGACAATAAATCTGAAATTATTGAAGATTATAATGAAGATGAATATTCTCGTACTTTATTAGGTAAATTTTTTTATTTTTATATCTTTATTTCTATTTTTAATGTTATACTTTTATTGTGTGTTTCTTTTATCTCAAGATAACGTTGATAATACTGTTGAAGATCCCCAGCACCAACACCATAACAGCACTCTTTACTCCCCTCATCTTAGTGACAACAGCAGCAGTAGTAATGATAAAGTTGAAGGCGATTTTTTCAAGTCAGTAGAATCACAAATTTTTCCCCAAGGTACGTTTATATGTAACTTGTTCTTTAATTAGTTTGCTAAAAGATGAATTTTATATATTTTTAGGTCGTTTAAAATGTAAAATCTGTAACAAGGCTTATTTCACCAATGTAGGTCTTGAAGCTCATATGGATATACATCTACCTAAAGGAAAAACGATTTCCAAATCCTCATTATTAGTTGGCAAATATATAAAAAATAAAAAGAAAATCTTAAAGAATAACGATATTTCGGATGATGACGAAGAAAATACCAATGAACAGAGTGCTAAGACGAAATTGCCAAAACCAAAGAAAATGTTTCCTTGTGAAGTTTGTGGTAAACAAATGATATCTGCTTCTAAATTAAGGTACAAAAATGATCACTTCATTATTTAAATGGATTTATAGAAGTTTAAGTTATTATTACTATTTAAAATGTCTGTTTTCGATCGAAATAGTCTTAATTTCGAAGTTATTATTGAAAATTCAAAGTCGAAGTAATTCCAATTCTACGTTCACATCTATCAACTATTTGACAAAAATGACGTGATCTCTAAAAAATTTTGATTGCATATATAATTATTTGCGCAAACATAATATATCTTTGACGACATCAGTTTATAACGTCTTTATTATTTGTTTCGACATTATTTCCAATTACAAAAATCATGTAGAATCAAAAATAAATTTACAAAAAATAGTGCTTACGTCTTTTTCGTCAAATATTTGAGAGGTCTAAGATACTATTTATCAAAATTTTTGGAGAGAACATCAACAACATCCACTTTGAAGCCAAATATTTTAATCAATTTAATTTTAAATAATTCTCTAAAAATCCTTTCAGATATCATATGGTAATGCATACCGGTGAAAAGGACTATTTATGTACAATGTGTCGTAAGTCAAATTATTAAACTTAATTTCAATAAAATGTTCTTTATAAATTAAACAAAGCAAACTTAAAATTACATTAAAAAATCAACTTATAACCCCAATTCACTATTTCGAAACTATTCAAAAATATAGAAGAATTTTGTGAATTTGATATAATCAAATAAAAATAACTTCTACAGAAGCATAAAATAACTGGAATGCACTACAAGCAAGTACTGGTACAGAATTTCAAAAGCAATAAATTAAACAGGATTTTACAATTTTCAAATATTTTTATATTTTGTTCTTAAATAAAATTTTTTGAAATATGTACAATTAAAACTTTATGAAATATATTTAAAAATAATTCCTTTAATTAATGTATTTATTTTCGAAATTGTGTTATATATTATTTTGAGTTATGTAGTTATGTTTGCAGCTGAAAAAAGCAATTTTACGAACTATTACGAACCTTTCTTCCTAACACATAAATTCTCTTTTTTTATTTTTTCTTTTCAAATAGCTAAAGCTTATTCAACGATATATGCACTTAAACATCATATGCGGGCGCATACAGGAGAACGTCCTTATGAGTGTAAGTTCTGTGGTGATCGTTTTCTACGGCCGACAACGCTAAAAAGTCATATGCGTCGTCATACCGGAGAACGGCCGTACGGTTGTGATATATGCGGCAAACGTTTCATACAACACTCATCGATGGCTACACACATGAAACTCAATCATATGGATAAAACTATACCCTGTCCATATTGTGATAAAAAATACGCACGACAAACTGACCTAAATACACATCTGTTAAGTCATAGTGGGGATAAACCATTCGCTTGTCAAATGTGTCCAAGTCGTTTTACACGACAATCAAATCTAAATAAACATATGAATCAACAACATTATGGTGACAATCATAGTTCGGGAGATAAAAAATTTAAAAAGAAATGTTCAAAGGAGGTGGCCAATAATGAAGTTAAACAACAAACGGAAGGAAATGATAATACAAATTTACTAGGAGAGGATTGTATCGTCGTGGAAGTGCCAACTTGTTCCTCCCATTTAAAGTAAGTTTATAGACGGCTATTATCGATATTAATAATAATTAGGGATTTAACGAATGCTCGCTTTCGCTTTTTACATTTGCTAAATCTTAGAGAATGTTTTAGCGAATACTAATTTTAGAAAATTTAATTGAAATGAATGTAAAAGCTTTTAGCGTTTACATTATGTTTTTTTATCATTCTTACTTTTTTACTCAAAATATCGAGGGACTATATTCAATAGTCGCTATCTCTCATTTTTATGAAAATGAGATTTTGATGGCAAAATATTCAGCAAACTATCGCGCATCAGTGATATAAATTTCAAAGAAAAAAAAAATATTTTTTGGCAATTTTATAGCATTTTTTAAATTTCTCTATCTTAAAAAAAGAAAAATTCTGAATGCAAAACTCTCTATCTTATCCAAAAATTGCTTCAAACTCGATCCCTTTGGATAATTTTCTGTTGCAAACAGTGATGCCAAGTGTAGGGAATTTTCCCTTTTTGTAGGGATTTTTTTCAAAAATTCCACGTGTAGGGAAAAAGGGAAAGATTTCTTACTATTGTCAAATTGTAGGGATTTTTCAATTTCATAGTTTTTAACAACTAAAAATATACTATTTCATGTATTAAACTTTTAAATTAAAAATGAAATCAGTTTTAAGTGTATCGTTAGTAAAAATTCTGCTTGTAATTTCTACAATATACATATGTACCTACAGTGGCGAGCAAAACTGGATACATGTTTAGCTAATAAGACTTAAAAATGCTATAAAACCCATAAAATAAAGGAAAAATAATAAAGTTTTCAATTTTAAATATTCAGTAAAGCAATATAAAAAGAAAACAAAATTAAATTCATGATAATTAAATATTAATCTAAAAATTAAAACATATTTATAAATAAAGTCGAAGTATCCAGTTTTGCACGTTTTAAAAAAAAATTTGATTTTTAATATTTTGTGCAAAGTCCTTTTGCTTTTATGACACTTTTTATACGTTTAGGCGTACTTTTGACCAAGGTCTCAATGGTCCGGTGCGGAATACTAGACCACTCCGGAATACTAGACCACTTTAAGATTTCTTGGTGCATTATCGAATTGCGCAAGACGTTTTTTTAACAAAGCCCATAAATTTTCAATTGGATTGATTTCCGGGCATTGAGTTGGCTATTGCATCGTTTGAAAATTCTGCGCTGAAAGCCAATTCTTTACGATTTTTGCCGTATGCTTCGGATCCCCATCCTGTTGGAGTATAACCTCGGACTCTGGATATGCACATTCTTCCACAAAATCTGGAATATTGGATTGAAAATACTCAAATAATCCTCCTTTTTCATTATAGCATCTAAATTTACTAAAGAACCGAGATTCTACCAAGTGAAACAAGCCCACACAATCAGACTACCACCCGCTTGTTTCACCCTTTTGTTTTACTTGGTGCTTTTTTAAGCTTTCATAAGGGCGGTGCCAGTAATATTCCTTGCCATCAGACTGAAAACGATTAGTTTTCGTTTCATCGGACCATATAACCCTTTTCCAGTCATCAACACTCCAATTTTTGTGGTTCTTGCTAAATTTAAGACGATCCTTCACACTTTTTTCTGATAACGCTGGTGTTTTCTGCTTTACGGCTGATATAAGGCCAATTCTACGAAGAGCTCCCCGGACTTCACCCATTCACTTAAGGACTTATTTATGACGACTATAGCCTGTTTTTTGTATTTTTACCTGTTTGGATGTCAATAAACGCTCAATAAGATGTCAATAAGATCTCTCCGAAAGCAAACACGATCGACATTTCTTAACTTCTGGTGTGCTCATATTTTTCTTTTTCGCACTTGTAGCACTCTTCGGTGGCAAATTCCTAACTTCTTGGCAATTTGACGAGCACAGTAATTATTTTTTGTCATTTCGACCATTTGGTTTCCCAATAAACTTGATATTTGTCTAATTAAAACTAGAAAATTAAAATATTTGCAAAAAAATTACAAATATGACTCAAAAATGGTAACTGTTTGTTTTGATGCTTTCTTCAAAGGTAAATCAAGTAGCAGTACTCAAATTCATTGTTATTTTTAAATTTACTTGTGTTGCTAGATTAATTAAATTTAAACGTGCAAAAGTGGATACATAGACTTTTTTAATAAAATTAGCTAAAACTTGAGATAAAGTTTCAATATTCGCGAATTTTCTATTGTTTTATTTTCTTATTCTTCTATTGCTTATTTTAAAACCAATATAAAATTTTTGTTTAATATTTTCTCGATTTTATTGGGTTTTTAACATACACTTGATTGATATGTATCCACTTTTGCTCGCCACTGTACATATCGCTACAAGACTGGCATAATCCAAAATTCGGCTTTCTTGAACTAAGGTCTTCAAAACATGCGACATACTAAAATCTTTCATATAGATTTATGAAATTTCAAATATGTCTATTATTTTCGATGTGAAATCGATTTTTTGTAAACGTAAAAACTAAAACCCACGTTTTTGTGAATATTAGACAACTAAAAATTTAATTTCAATTTAGATGAGAAACATTTTAACCTCAACTATCTGAATCTGGATTTTTAAAACCCCTTGATTTGTTTAAAAGTTATTAAAAAAATAGTTAAATGTCATTAAATATTCATATCCATTTTTCTTGAAAGGAGTTTTTGGATTATGCCAATCCTGTAGGGCGATATATTCTGACTCCTTATAGATAGAGTAGTCGGGGGCTTAATGCAGTAACTCAGGATTGAAAAAATGAATTTAATGTTCTGAAAATTTATAAAAGTAAACCGCAAAAAGTAAACGCAAAAGTAAACCTTATTTAAAATAATTATTTTATGAAAATCTTTTTGTTGGAGGCACATAAAATAAATTTTTATCACGATTCGATATACTGCCATAAATCTTTCAATTTTTTTTTTTTAATCTTAACTGAAGAGTCAGGGTTGGAAGATTTGTATGATGTAAAATTGAAAGAAAAAAAATTAAAATTTAAATTCTAGAAATTTCATTCCTAAAAATTAAAAAAAAATACATACATATAAAACGGAGCTAATATTTTAGTTTTTGATGTTATTTTTGTATTTTTTTAAGATAAACTTTGAAAAAAATGGAAAAAAGTAGTGTAGGGAAAAATGTAGGGAAAATAAAAAGTGGGTGTAGGGAAAAAAAGGGATTTTTTCTCATAAGCGTAGGGATTTCTGAAAAAAATCTCCTGGCATCACTGGTTGCAAAACAAGTCTTCTTAATAATTTGGACATGCTGAACACAAATCCGTCAAAATATTTAAAATCGGTCTAATAGTTTTTGAGATATCGCTCATTATGATACTAATTAAATCAATTTTATTGTCGTGTTTAACCATATAACATTGATTTTGGACCAAAACATTATAATCTGTTGCTTTTTCAACAATTTGGTTTCTTTTCCTCCATTAAATTGTATAAAATATAATATTTATTGATTTTAATTCAAATAAAAATTTTATGTTTCCATGAAAAACTCTCTATCTGTTGGTTGAATGAACATTTTCGTAGAAAAATAAGCTCTATCTGATATAAATTTGTGAATAATTTTGTAAATAATGCAAAAATTAAAATTTTTTTTATATAATGGTTTAGAATATATCGTAAAAGAAAAAATTAAAAAATCTTCACGAACTAGCGAAATAAACAGTTTTTTTGCTCTCCTGAAAACTTGTATTATTTTAGATAGAGACTATTGAATATAGTCCCTCGATATACTTTAATTCTCATTTACATTCGCAAAAAATTTATTATTCGCTATCGCATTGCATTCGCTAAACTAGTATTTACAACATGCCTATTCTGAAACAATTTTAATATAAAAATACTGTGAAAGACTCAAAAAGTATTGAAAATTGAAATAATAATAATAGAATGAATTTCATGATAATTATGAATTTAATACCAAACCACTTTCATTCAGAATAAGAAAAGTTCATAAATATAAAGTATATATAACGTGTATAAAACTTTCATTATAATTTATTTAATTAAAATATTTTTATATTACTTGGATTTGGTAAGATTTTGTTAAATTTCAAAATTGTAATTTTTCATAAAAAATTAGAAAATAATCTATTTTGGAAAACTAAAGAAATTATTTCATTTAATGATAATAAACTATTAAAAGTGCATAGTGCGTTTGCCTTTTTTACTATAAATTAAGAAATTTTTATCCAATTTTTTTTAGTTCCACTTCCACAAAGCTGAAAGAAACTGAATCATCAGCCATTGGCAGTTTTCAACAAATGCCAGTCATTACCAATGAGCTGCCTGATGACCAATTAAATAATTGGGACTGGCCTAATCAGACTTAAACAATCCAATTTTTATGTGCCTTATTAATATCTAAATGTAAAAAAAAAACAACTATCAAAAATTTGCAATCTATTTTTATATTCTACCAAAAAATATTTTTGTAGTTGTTTTTAAATATTAAAACAATATTACTCACTTCGTTTAAACTCCGTGTTTTTGCTTCATTGTAAAACAACTTTTATTTAGGATTATCAATAGTTTTTTGCAATATATTTACTTATTTACATAAATTTAATTGTAATTTTTTCAGTTTTTTTATATAATTTTTTCATGTATGCCATAAATATTTATGTATTTTTTGTTTCTATATCAAGACAGTAATAAAAAAATTAAAAATCTCTTATATTTCAGATTATACACAAAAAAATAATAAAGAAATTAGAACAAAATTAATATTAAAAAATAATATATTAATAATTTTTTAACTAAACTAATAATTTAAGAAAATAATGTATAAGAAGAAGGTGTTTAATAATAAAGGACAAACAAAAAGCTAATGTTTATCCTAAATAAAAAAACGTATTTTCTTTAAAAAAGTTGATCACCAACAAATGCCTCACAGGTATGTCTATAAGCAGAGACTTGTTTGTATTAACCACAATGGTGACAGACACTAAAGCATTTTTAATGTTGATTAGAAAAATAATTGTTATTGTTTTAAGTTAGTTAAAAATGAACAACAAAATAAAATGAATTTAAGTTAGCAAACAATAATAGTGAGTAGTAGTTGTTAACAAATTAAAAATGTTTTTTTTTTTTTCATATTTTTAATAAGAAAGATGTTAAAAAATATATAGATTTTTTGTTTAATTTATTTTTTAATAATAAAAAGAAGTTTTTTTATAACAAAATATATGTATTTACTTAAAGTGAAAACAAATGATTTTAAGGATTTCATAATCTCATGGCCAATATAACAAATGGTACGAAATGCAAAAGGAGGCGTTGGGGGAGGAGAGAAAGAAATCGGAATAAGGTAAATTATAAATTATCATATAATTATAAACGAATAAATAATAAAATAGAAAAAATTAAAGTTTTTTAATTTTATAATAAACAAATTAAATAGAAACAATTGAATTATATGATTTTATATTAATTCTTCTTTCTGTATTTTTTGTGTGTGAATATCTAATAAAAAGAAATTTAGTTTTATGGCCAAAAATATTTAGCTAAAAACAAACACACAAATGAAGTATGAACTAAAAAAATAATAAAAATACAATAACAACTTGACATTTAGTACAAGCTTTGGTTAAGAATAAAAAAGAAAAACTATCCGAGGCACATGATGAAATTCTTTAGAACATTCCCGTTTTTTTTAATGATCGGGAAATTTGTAAAGGATTTTTTATTACTTTTTGAATTGATCATGTTGTTGTGTAGTTCTTTCTTTATTTAAACCTTCTCTCTCTCCTCTCTTCTATAGTTTTTAAAGAGATGCTGTTCTAGTTGAGTTTGAAATTGTAGATAAGATCTTAAAAAATTATTTTATTTTCTGTTTTGTATTACTAGGGGTTTTAATTATTTTATTTAAAAAATCTTCTGTTTATTTTGTATTATATTGTTCTTGTTGTTGGTTGTCACATTTTATGTATAAACTCTGTAGCGTTTTAAAGTTGTCATTAAGTTGTAGATGTGTTGTATAGTACGACTTTGTTGCCAGCAACATGTTGCGTAGATTATGTTGATGATGAAGGTTGTTCAGTGGTAGTAGTTTTAAGAAATGTAGCAGTTACTTTCGAAGAAATTTTAGGATTTGTATATACAGACGTATTAGGTTTGTTAATCACCAAAGAATAACGACTTTTAGTTTCCCGGAATTTATTTGCTTTCGAAGTGTTGTCACTTACAATCATTTGGACTTTACGTCGAGGACTTTTAAATAAAACAGACGAACAATTGGATTGTGTTGGAGAAGTAGTACCAGATACTGACGAGGCCATTGACTTATTTTTTAAAATGTGCATACTTTTTTCTTCTCTTTTTACTGTTCCTTTGTGAGTTTCATTAATTGAAGCGTTATTAATTTTACGATAATAATTTATTTTTATCGGAGACACAGGAGTTTTCACTTTAACTACACGTTTAGCTTTTGTTTGCTGTGGAACACCACCGCCCTCACCACCACTATGGACTATTAACTCTTTTGTAGTGCCTTCTTTTCCCTTTGCCGCAGCGGATGCTGATGTCGCTGCAAATGTTGATGGCTTTCTAATGAGTTTGTATTTGTTTAAAAGAATTTTATTCTTTTGTTTTAAACTATTCATGGGATGTTCTGGCGTTTTACGGCTTATATCTTTCGAAAATCTATTTGTTTGCAATTGTTGTCTGTTGCTGGCAACATCTGCAGTATTTAAGCCGCTGCAGCTGCTATCACGTCTTGAGGCGTCGTCTGTTTCTTTATTAAATAATGTCTTGCTGAAGATTATGTCGTCTAGTTGTTGTTTTTGTTGTTGGCATTGATGTTTTAGCTCTTTGTTATTAATACGGCTGCTAATTGTGTTCTGTCTTAAGCATAGTCCTGTCTGTTCATGTTTATTTTGTTGTGATCGGTCCACGCTGTTATTAGCGTTTGATTTTATAATGTTCTCTACCGTTGTGTTACTCGCCTTATCGGTGCACGTATTTTCCGTTTTGCCTGTTGTGCTGTTTGGGCTCCTGGTGTTGGCGCTGGCCTGTTTTGGAAAAGAAACAATTTAAAAAATGACTCATTTGTTTTTTAACATTTTTAAGGAATGGATGTAAAATAATATATGTATACATTAGCAAACACAGATCACAAAACAAACAAAAAACAATAAATATATCATCATACATCATATCATACACATGAATTATAATTAAGATTTCGTATAACGATTCTTTGATATCATGCAAATTTTTTGCATTAATCTCATTCACATTAAATTATTATATAATTTACAATTTATTAGTTTTATGATCTAGCCGAAAGTATGCATCCTTCCTTTTATTGTTTGCTAAATTTAATTATTTTTTGTTTTCATTAAAAATTTGTACTTACGCGAATATATTACTTGTTACAGGCGCGGCACCTGCATTAAATTGGAAAGGTGCATTCGGCGTGCCCTGTAAAAAAAAAATGTCAAAAATTTTGTTTTTTAATTTAATCATATTTTTAATTTGGAGCATTTGTGTTACAAAATGTATTAATGAAAAATAATACAAACGGAGGGAATATATTCTTTAACCCAAATACTAGATTGTTCTTTGAAAACTCTTAATTACTATTTATTTATTTATAACCACAACCTAGCCTACCTTTATACCTAAAAGTATAGGTTTAATTGGCCTATTAAGGATTTATATCGTGAGACTACATTAAAAAGTGCTAATAAAAAAAAACTAAATATTACTCCACAAAAAGAAAATGTTCCTTCCAGAATATACTAATAGTACTTTTTAGTCGTAAAAAAGTTTTTCAAAGTTTGCATTTTTCCTTCAAAGAATAATTTAAAATTATTTGTAGTAATGAATATAGGAGTTATCGCTAAAAGTCTAAACTTGCAAAGCGTAACTTCATTCTGAAATTGTGAATATGTGAAATAGTGATCGATCTTTAGTGTATAACCTTCTGTAAACTTTAGCATTCTTACAAGATATGCTACGTCCGCATGTTTAGTTTGGCCTAAAGAATAAATTCAAAGAAATTGTAATATTTATTGATGGCAAGTAGTTTTCTTTTCAAAAAATAAAATTGACTTCAAACGAAGCTCAATCAACTTTTGTTCTTGAAGCCTGGCAGCCTATATATGGCTACTTTGCCATAAATAGTAGTAAATTCCTCTAAAAACTATGAATAATTTTGCTTAGTTAAGAGCGCTCCTCGATATAGAGAAAATCTTGGCCAAATTAAATATGCATTTATTATTTACCTTAAAAACTGGATTAAAGAATTCTTCCTATAAAAAGTGGTGGTGTTAAAGGTGGTTAGTAAAAATGAAATGTGTGGATTAGATATATGTAAGTAATAAACAAAATACAGAATGCACAAATTTTACATGCTGATTGTAATAATCAAACTTAAACATCGTCTTTTTATGTATTGAATTATTGGAAAATTTAAATGCATTTAAACAATAATGAAATTTAAAAACAGATAATGAATAATTATGGGCTTGTCACGTTTAGTGTATGTGTGTATTTGTGAGTGTTGTTTTTTTTACTTTACCTCTAAAGCACCACGATTAAAATTGAAAACTGGTGCCGATGGAGTTGCGCCAAATTGAAAAGGTTTCGTTGAATTTTGAGACTGTGATTTTTTTTATAGAAAAATCCCACATATCATTTGTTGTTTCATGTTAATAATCAAAGTTTAACAGTGGACGTTAGAACGATACATTGGACGATAGATAGATGATACGATTACAATTATTTCAAAGATTTATACACAACAACGTTATTATACAAGAAGTAAAAAATAAAGAAAGAAATAAGTTTAAAATGAAACAAGAAAAAAGAGAAGAAAAGAAAATCAAATTTTAAATTATTACTACTTTATAACTACTATAACTATAAATATGTTTTTATATTACTTATGGAATAGCTTACTAAATCGTTAATATTACAAAGGTAGCATTTAAATAAAAGGATTTAACATACCTCCGCTGTTCCGGTAAAATTAAACGTAGGCTGTTGTGTAGTTGTTGTACTACCAAAATTGAATGCTGGTTTTGTTGTAGACGCTGATGAACCGAAATTAAAACCACCCTAAAATTATTAAAAATATATATATTTTAATATAAAAATAAAAGAAAGATATCACATGTCAAAAAATTTTGATAATCCGAAACAAATAAATTTGCTTACACTAGTATTTTGTGTTGCTGGTGCTGCACCAAAATTAAAAGCAGCCTCTGGTTTTTTAACCTCAGTGGTGTTTGTTGTAGTATTGTTAGTTGCTGCACCAAAACCACCAAATGTAGTGGGACCCGAAGCTGCTGTACTTCCAAAGGTTGGTGTTGCACTTGTCGAAGAAGCAGCACCGCCGAATGGCGATGAACCAAATGCTGGGGTCGGTGTTACGGCATTACCACTCGAATTAGCTCCAAATATACTGGTGGCAGCTGGTGCTGAATTAGAGCCAAATAGATTTGTACTTGAGTTTGTTGATCCCGATGCTGCTGCATTTGAAGCTGTCGCGGGGACCCCAAAAATAGACGAAGTTTGCTGCTGATTAGTGGTATTAGTGCTAGATGAACCAAACGAACCGAATACAGAAGGTTTAGCAACTTCTTTATTTTCGCTTGTGTTGGCTGGAACAGCAGAGTTTGTTGGCGGTGTTGCGCTTGCCGCTGAACCAAATACAAAACTGTTTTTAGGCCATGTTGTGCTAGTACTTGTAACTGAACCTGCTGAAGCGGTTGTTGCTGCTGCAGAATTGTTCATCGCATTAGAACCGAACACAAAACCACCTGAATTTGACTGTGATGACTGAGAGGTGCTGGTTGGTGCAACATTACCAAATACTGGTAGTGTTGGTTTTGTTTCTTTTGGCTTTACCAATGTATTATTGTTACCACCTGCTCCACCAACTCCGCCAAACGACCCAAATACATTAGATGTGGTTTTAGATCCAAATGTTCCGAATTGTGGAGTATTTGCCGAGGTTGAGTTATTGGTTGAGGAACTAACAGTAGTTAAGTTATTATTGGCAGGAGGATTGATAGAGGAACCAAATATTGGTGTTGCAGAGGCATTAGATGAACCCCCTCCTCCACCAAATGAACCAAATATATTTGTTGAGGCAGGTGTAGTAGTTGTCGTTGACGATGTTGACAAGGATGTTGTTGATGTTACGTTCGCTGTTGTAGATATGGTAGTCGTGGAAGTAACAGCCGAAAATAACGTATTCGCTGTCGTTGTTGTCACAGTTGCATTGTTTGCTGAATTACTTCCAAAATTAAAGCCACCAAAACCTGTTGTAGCTTGCGTGTTTGCAGCTGGTGTAGTTGCTGAAGACGAACCAAAAGTAAACATTGGCTTTACAGCTGCTGTTATAGTTGAAGAAGTGGTTGTTGTTGCTGATGTTGATGTCGTAGTGTTAATGGAGCTACTGACAGTAGTTGCTGCAGCTGTTGAACTACTATTGATTGTAGATGAACCAAAAACAAAACCTGAGCTTTTTGGAGATGTGGCCGATATTGTTGTTGGAGCTTTGAATGCAAAACTCTCTAAAGATTTCTTTTCCTCTGTGACGGATGCAGTTGGCTTTACGGTCTCTATTTTGGTGCCAAATGAAAATCCTCCAGTCGTTGAAGAGGCTGTACTGGTGCCGAAACCAAACGAAGGTGCTGCCACGCCCGTTGGCTTGTCATTATTACTAACAGTTGTGTTGGTGGTAGTGGGGGGCAAAGTGAATTTCACACTTGGTGTGCTAGCAGCGGTATCGGAAGACAATGCTGTGTTTGACTTAGTTGTTGCTGTTGTTGTTGTCAAGGACTTCGAGCCAAATACAAAACCGGATGGGGCGGATGAAACAACTGAATTTTCGCTTACCTTTGTCGCAACAGTTGTAGATGCTGGGGTAACACCAAATTTAAAGCCTGTAATTTTTGTGTTGGAATCTGTTTCATCCTTTTTACTTTCACTCGTGGTGCTAGATATTGGCTTGATTCCGAATTGGAAACCACCTTGTGCCGGCACTGATGCTGGTTTTGTATTATCTTCTGTTTTACTAGCCAAACCTTTCCTTAAATCGTCTTCTTTAGGTGCATTGGCTCCAGTACTAAAACCAAAACTAAATTTGGATGCTGCAGTAGCTCCAAACTGAAATTTAGTTGATGACGAATTGGTTGGTTCTGCGCTTGTTGCTCCTGGCTTAGGTTGCTCACAACAAGCACATTTTGTGCGATTGGCATCATTGCGAGTCATACAAGCATCACATTCCCATTTAGAAGCTTTTTGCTGAGCTGCCAATGTTTTGAAACCAGCATCCGCATTTGAATTAGCATTTGTAATACCGGTGCCAGCAGCAGCAGCAGCACTAAAACCAAACTTAAACTGTGTTGCTGGAGATGCTGTTGTGGTAGAGGTTGTTCCCGTAGCTCCTGGCTTTTTGGTTTGACAAGCTATGCATTCATTCGCCTCATTTTTATTAGAAATCATACATGTTACACATTCCCATGTACCAGATTTTGGTTTAAAAGCATCACCAAATGAATTTTTAATTGGTGGTAATGCTGTGGTTGATTGCTGCGTTGCTCCTTTACGTGGTGTTTCACAAGCCACACACTTTGTGGCGTCTTGTTTATTGCGTATCATGCATGCATCACATTCCCATTCATTTGAGGATTTCTTAAATTGTTGGCCAAATGTAGATGTAGTTGATGCAGTAAAAGACAATGATGTATTTATGGATTGCTGATTTGTTGAGGGCTTTTGCGTACGTGGAGTTTCACAAGCCACACATTTATTAGCATCTGATTTGTTGCGAATCATACAAGCGTCACATTCCCATTCATTAGACGATTTTTTAAATTGATTACCAAAACCGGAAGATGCATTTAGAGATCCGTTTATTGAAGATGTTTGATCTGGCATATTGGTTTTAGGTGTTGTCGGTGGCAAGGTGAAAGGTTTACTAAGAGCATCTAAGCAAGATCCCTCTTTAAGTTGAGGCTGTTTCGGTTGGGTATTGTGTTGTTTTACGGATGTGGATGTTGGTGTTACGATGACATCTAGTGGGGGACTAAATTTATATTTATCAATGTCATTTTTAGTTACACTCTGAGTTGGTGTTGAGACGCCAACAATTTGTAAAGGTTCAGAAAATTTAAAAGTGTTCGTGGTTGTTTTATGTGTTGAAGCAGAGACTGTATTCAGTGATTGAGTTGGAACTGGTGGTGTTTTTTTGCTGTCTGTTGTTGAAATCGATGTTTGTGTTGCGGCTTTCATAGGTGTAGGATTAAATACAAATGAGTTTATTTTAGATGATTCAGTTTTTGCTGCATTTGAAGTTTTACACTCAATGGTGTTGTTGGTGGTAACTGAAGGTTTATTTAATTGTATATCAATTTTGGGCACAGATTGCATAAGTGGAAATGCTATATTGGGTAAATTTACGGGTGGGGGTGGCTCTTCATCTTGCAAATCCTTTGCTGCTGCTGATGGTCTCAATGAGTTTGTCACTTTGTTCCTTATTTTGTTTGTATGCTTCTGTTGATCCTGGTCGTTGTTGGTATTTGTTTTTGTGGTTGCCACTTCAGGTAAAGTGTACTCGGATGTTCCACTGTTTACTACAGAGTTTTGAGCAATTTTTCTCGCTTTTTCGGTAGTATTTTGAATTTTCTTCATTTGCAACAATTGAGACATTGTTGGCACTTGGAGTTCCTTAATGGGTGGCATGAGACCGCCCGCTGTACCTCTTCCGCTAGCATTTCCAGAGGGCTGTAGTATTACAGCCGGTCTAGTATAAGGTGTTCGTACTTGCGACAAGCGCATAGCTCTCGAAGCATTTAAATCATTTTCATTTAAGCGACCTTTAGCTTGTGGTGGTATCTGTAGGTTTGGATTACTTTTCAGACTACTTGCCATCTTTTTAGCTTCACTTAAGGGTGTGGCAAAATCATTAATCAAATCCAATATACGTTTGGCCGTCGACGATATTGTTGAATTGTCCCCAATTTGAGTGTTAACATTGTTACCCATTGAAGTATTCGATGATAGTGTGGAGAGACTTGATGTTGGCCTTATTAATGTGGGTGTTATACGCACTGAACTGGCGCCTGCACCAGCTGTATATTTATTATAAGCTGCTGCTCCACCGTATGTCGTTTTTCCCTTGTAAAATGGAGAAAACGTATTTAACAAACGACTATCACTCAATGCAGATGTACTACCATAGATTGAGGCGTTGAATTGACGGCGATTAAGTGATGTTAAAGATAATGTAGAGTTATTTAATGGATTCGAAATGCCATGATTGGGGCCGCTGAATAAAGATTTTCGTCCCTCAAGGTGGGAATAGAAATTTAAACCATTTCCAAATGAAGAAGTACGACTACTGTTACGAGTATTTGTAGCGCCTGTAGCTGACATGTTAAAAAGACCAGTCTTACGTTGTTTGTTAGATGAATTGGTTTTCATTACATCCATTGCACTTTCACCACTTTCTGAAGCGGAATCAATTAAAATAGCTTCATTTGATTCGGGCAATCCTGCAGCCTTCAAGCCCGAACCATTTATTAGTTTTTGTCTTTTATTGGCGGTAAAGTTATTAGAACCCCCATTGCAAGTATTAGCATTGGATTCCAATAGCTCCTCACGTTTCTCGGTTCCATCACCACTTTGGACTTTTTCTTGATCTTCCGATTCTTGATCTTCTACTTCGTGTATAGTAGTTGAAGTACGCCTAGGTGGTATACCCACTGTGTGAGAGGTCGATAAATCTGCTTTAGCTGTTGACAAAGGCTGACGCTTAAGATGAGCCACAGTTGCATAAACACGTTCTACACTAGTTAATGTTGAGGCAGAAGATGGGATATTTAAACTTTTACGGGAGCTAAAGTAAAGAAAAAGGGTTATTATTAACTCTTGTAGAAGTGTTTATAAAGAAAGTATTTAAAAAAAATACATTACCTTATTCCAGTACGACTACCACCGTATGCATTAGAAGCTTCTGCTAGTTTATCATCATGTTCATAAGAAGGATTTGATATCAAATCAATGATATCGGTATTAAATGGTTTTGAGTCCTTTTGTTGGCCAAAGTTGAAAGCTGGTTCCTTCTTACTTTGGTTTCCATAAAGATTCAAATTTGTATAACGTTGATAAGACGACCTTGAAGCTGATGCTGTGCTACCAGAATTACGTAAATAAGAACTAGCCACAGCTGGTGTAGATGATAAAAGTGGTTGATGTCGTGTGATTAATGGACTATCACGAACCTGTAACATAAATTAATTGCTTAAAATTGGATTTTTCAAAATAACTAATGCGGTACTTACATCAATATTAAGACGAGATCTTTTTGCTGGCGGCTGTCTTTCAACATTTAAATCTCGTCTTGTTTGTTTAGTTAAATTGTTGCTATTGTATTCTTCATCACTATTTTGGCTTTCATCATCGTCATCATTCTCATCATCGACTTCAATTTCACGTTCACGAGTTTGCGACTGCTTAGCGTATAAACGATGATTATTTTCTTCATATTCTCCAGGACGTTGTACATCCTCATCATCCTCGTAATTATCTTCTTCTTCGATTTCAATGCGACGCCTACGGCGTGTTTGCAAAGTATTTGTATTTGAACCACAAATACTACCATTTAATGAATCATTTTGTAATTTTGCAGATGGTGAAAACCATTTGGACAAACGATTGGGTAATATGCTCGAAACTCGCGACTTTACTTTTCCAATAATTGACTGTAAATTTTGTTTTTGACGATAAATTATAAATTTAAATATGAACTTTATTTTAATTTGCAGTGAACAGAAAACATAGTAGTGAATATTTATGGGTTTTGTCTTCATCTCGTTATTGGCCTTGAAACTTGTTAAGTGATTTAGTTTTTTCTCGAATCAACAATAGGGCTAATTTTTTCCTATATTAGGTTTTTCATTCGCCTGTCGAATGAATGTGCAAATTAATCTTACGAACATCTGTACTAGAAAGATCAACCTCTAATAAAGGACAGTATATTATAGTTAATGATTTATTTGATAAAGGCATCAGGCATAGACTGTTTCTTCTTTATCTTCGTTGTTTTTAGCACTTCAGCAAAATTCCTTAAAGAAAAGATTAAACTCGTTGCATGTGCACCTATTAAACAACGTCATGTATACATAGCTGTCCATACCCGTAGCAGCACTCGTGAAATCTAAATCTATATTACCGACCTACGGTTGCCATAGAGTGGTTCATTTCTATGTAGTTCTCTAGATAACCTCTAGTAAGAGCAAACATACATATGTGTGCCTATAGCTTCTATTGTGTAAGTGTTTAAAAATTGTCTAATTCCCATAAACATTGATTACTATTCCTGTTTTCTCCTCCCTGACGAAACTTTTACTGTAGGGGCAAAAGAATGAGACCGGCTCGATCGTGGTCTAAAGAACTAAATCCAATTCTACGAGGGGACAGAAGGTGGCTTTTACATCCCTAGTTTTAGGAGAGTAGTATGATTTAAGTTGCATTATCAATGTTGAGTTCTTCGAACTGAGATTTTAGCCATGATACTATAGAATTTACCTATGTATGTACATATGTATGTATGTACATACTGGGTAAAATTCCTAATTTGTACTGAATGCAAAAATGCAATTCATACTGTTTCATGTAGGTAATTGGCAATTGACTTGACTTTATGCAAGCATAATTCTTAAAGACAGGTTTACATATAATATAATACACGGAATATTATGAAATTGGTATCGTTGACTCGAAATTAATGAGGAAAATTCAAATACTTTAAAAAACTAGAGTGTGATGCATGTAAATTTGTACGTAAACAAAATTAATGTATATGGCATCCCTACAAAAACAACAACCTGACTACAACCTTGTTGCTGGCCTTTATATAAATACATATAGTTGTATATAGACAGATATACAATAGCAATATGTGTATGTGCATATTTATATAAAGATTGATTAGACCAAGTACTACTATCTAAATAAAAATTCTAAAAAATTTATAAATAATAAAGTTAAGTGTTGATTGACTACTTACGTTATTAGCAGCATCTTCCATACTGATATTTAGATTTGCATCGCCACTTCCATGTCGTGGAGGACTACTACTTTCATCCTGTGCATATTCCGACATTTTACGCTGCTAATGATAAATTTTCGTAATTGTAAAATGTTGCAAACTAACGCTTGTGTTGAAATTTAAACACAAGCACCTCTTTCAATTCCCATACACCGCAACGAGGTTGTTATTGACGCATGCATGCACGCACCCCCTAGAGCTTGGCGTCTTCTGATTTTCAATTTTTTTTTCTTTTCTCACTTTGAAAAGTATTTGTTAGTATTATACTTGAAATGTTAAGCACTGATTTATTTAGTAATGTTTTTAAAAAGAATTACACTTTTAGTAATCACAAAAAATGGCAAATATCAATCAACTCGTTAGCCTCGAGAGTCGCGGGTGCTTCGAACACACAACTTTTGATTTTTTCTTCTACTACTTCTTTGTCGTTTGAACTCTGGGTTCTCAACACACGCATATACACGACTATATATAGATCTATCTCACTTTAACACATGCAGCCGCCAGTTATAGACGAATTTCTTTTCTCATCACTATTTGGCTTTCGCAATTTTTTTCTTTTTATTCGACGACTTAGATTTCAACTTTTTTCTTGCCTTTTGAACGTAGTGAATAGATTTTTGTCTTGACTATTTCGTTGTGAAATTTTTAGATTTTTACACAGATCACCTTTAAATTTTCATTATAACTGTTAAAACTCTGCGTTAAACAATGAATTTTTGTTAAAACTATAGTTATAAAGTGTGAAAATTTGGATTTTCTATGAAGCACGAATAAACGAGTAAAGAAACGCGTGAACGACGAGCACACTTTTTTTCTTCATCGTAGTGAAGAAATGGCGGACTAGAGGTTAGGGTTGTATTTTACACCACAGTGTTGCAGTTTTGTGTATTTAATTGAGATATAAAATAAAATTTACACAAGATGGCGCCATTCGAAAAAAGTTTGAAATTACTTCCATAATATTGAATTTTTTATTAATTTAAATTATTTGACGAAGAAAATTAAATCTAAACGAAAGCGATTTGTTCTGTATTTTTTATTTATTGTTTTATTTATTTTACTAAGCTGTATATAAAAAAACTTTTAAATCTGCTAGTTAAAAAAAAAATTACAACTTTTCGACTATTAAATTTCCGATTTTTTACAACTCTTAAATTGTCGATATTTCGAACTTTTTGATTATCGACTTTTGTCGACATTGTTCATTTTTTCAATATTTTCTCATTATTTATGCAAAAAGTTCAATTTTCCAGGTTTCCAAATAAAAAAAGCGTTTGCTTTTAAAATGTTTGGAATGAAATGAAAATTCAAGTTCGAAAGTAGAACTCTACATTCAAGCAGGTGGGGGAGACTTGTGGCAATCCAAATTAACGTCGTCAACTTCTGTCAAAATATATCCACGGTTACTTAAAATTACCGGCTAGAAAAAATTATATAAAAAAATCAAAAGATTGCCTAAATTCGAATCAAAACCGATAGTACTCCGTATAAAATTTTTTTTTGACGTCGTAGTTTACAAAATGAATCGACGGCTATGCTCAGCTCATTGCGTATTGTTCGGCGCTGATCTGTGAACAGCTGGTCTTAATATTTCTTTCGGCTCGTGTTGTGTAATATTGCATTTTTTCGGTAAAATTTTATTATTTTTTGGCAAAAATATTAAATATCTTAACGCAGTTTATATTTTTTCTAGCAGTTTAAAATGTCTGCTCCTGCCGCCCGTGGTTCAGTTGGCCTAATTAAAAGAGCCTGGAACGAAATTCCCGATATTGTCGGTGGCTCCGTGCTAGCCATCATTGGCTTAGGTTTAGCTGGTATTGGCTTGGTTAACTATTACGGACACGATGGCGATAATCGTCGTTATAAATTGGGCTATGTAGTCATGCGTCCCGATGATCCCAGAGCAGCAAAAGTGCATAAGGATTGAAACGTGTAAAGAAAATACGATGTTATAGGTGTTTAAAAAATATGGTGAACTTTATTTAAAATCAAGAAATGTAAATCGAAAGTTTATACAATGTTAATTGCTTGGTTGATGTCATTAAGTATTAGCTATTTTTTGTTTGTGGCTGAGTTTTAAGTGCAAATGCAAAGCCTTTGTTGTGAAAAATGATTTACTACAAAGAGAACATATTATGGCGGGGGATGTAACGTGTGCTGATGGAACCTCGGTATTCGGTGAACTTGTTGAAGCTATAAAATCACTTAATTGCTGAATTGGTTTCGTCTCTTTTAACGGCAAGTAAATGTCGGATGAATTAATTATTAATTTATCTGCAGTTTTAATTGAATCTTCAGATACTACATGCACAGATTTTTCTTCAAGCTCCTCACCATGGGTCTCCTCAATAGTAACTTCTATCGGACTATCAATGTTTGCTTTTGTACCAATTTTCTGTAGACGTTCGTATGTTTCTTCAAACTCCCTTTGTGCCAAATTAAATCTTTTTATAAATCGATATGAAATTTCTAACTGTTTAATGCAGTCATAGCAAATAAATTGGGGAAATTTCGGTTCATTTATTATAGTTGTTTGTAAACAATATTCCAACATTTCCATTATAGATGTCTGTTTACTGTTGTGTATATTTACTAGTTTTTCTTTTTCTATATTACATGATCTACAAAGATTACTGAAAATTTCCATTTTTATTGTATCTTCTAAGTTGTGAATGTGGAAGGATAAATCTATTTTTTTCAGATCGCAATGTTTATGTTTATTGTATAAGGGTGTTATCAGTTTAATGTGAATGACATATTCGCCTTGTTTTCAGTCAGCAATGCCAGATTTTCAAGGCTTTTGTGTGTTAAAAACTTGGTAGCATTGGGTTTTCAGTGTTGTATTCTTGCATGAAGTGTATGACGCATGGCGAAACTAATAAGGTGAAGTCTTTTCAATAGCTGATTGTTTAGCCCGAAGCTGTTAAACTCCATATAAAAAAAATCTCTCTCAAACCGGACGCTGCCAAACTATATACATATATAAAAAATTTCATGAATTCGGCGCAAAATTAAATGACTTTTTTTTCGCAAAAAGTCATCATGCCGGCCAGCGGTGGGATAAATTGCCGTAAAAAATACAGCAACTTCAATATTTTGCATAAAAATTCCAGCGAAAAATACAGCAACTTCGTTGTTTTTCATTAATTTTGAAATGTGCATTGAAAATCTTTTATCCAAACCTTTTTTTAATAATAAAACTTTTAAGTTAATTTCAAAAAAATAAAGTAATATATTTGTGAAATTTATTCGTGAAAAAGATGATTTTTATTTTTGCAACAACAAACAAGAAAATAATTGGTGCGAATTTACTATGTATTAAGCACCTTAGCGACACATCAAATTGGTTGACTCAAACGGTAAGTTTTTTGATTGTAAAAAACTCACCCGCATATATACATGTGAGTTTTTCACTAACACAATTAAAAAACTTACTGTTTGAGTCAACAAATTTGTTGTGTGGCCATGTCGCTTCATATAGAATTTGTTGACGCCATTTTTAAATTTATCTGCTTCGCAAAAATTTAAAAAAATCAACTTTACAAAAAGTTAACTTTTGTTTAACTATAGAACGAGTGTTGCCAGAAAAATATTGACTGATATGAAGCTTGAAATCCCCATTTTTAAATTGAAATCTCCATAGTTTCCACCAAATTTTTTCATGAAAAACTGAAATGAGAAATATCCGACTTCAATTTCACCTAGCCCTTGCAGAATGCAATAAAAACTGCCAAGGTATAAAACAGATTTTTGTATTCACAAGTTAGTTTTTGTAACCAGGAATTATGCTCTAAAAATGGCAATCATTGGGCCACAACTAGGCCACATATACTTTTTACTTGTTTTAACTTAAACATTTTTCCGTTACTTTTTTTGATTGCCATTGCTAAAGCTAGAATACTCATAAATACAAGAAACTTGGCCAGAATAATAATAATGATTGTTAATATTTATAAGAAAAAATAAAAATCCTCAAAAATACCGGAAAATTAAAAAAAATCCACAAATATGCGAAAGTCCCTTTTCCATAAAATCTATCCAAATAAAATCCCCAACTGGGGGACAAATCCCCACATCTGGCGACACTGTATAGAAGTCTACGCTGCTTTCAATTGCATTCAGGCATGGAAATTTTAAATTCTGAGATAGTACTAACTTATAACAAAAAGAGTACTTTTTAAGTTTTAAAGTACTAAACTAGAATAGACTAAACTATAGGCTAGACTAGACTTAAAAGGTAGTGGAGAATTTGCGGTATTTTTCGATATCAAAAAGTAAAAGGAAAAAGTACTAAAGTGCTGAATTTTCCATGCCTGATTGCATAAAAATCTTATAGGATTTTTTTTACAAAACTCTCCGTTAAAACTGATAAAAAGAACAAAAAGTAGGCTTGCAATTCGATATTCTGCAAATGGGATATTAATTATTTTCTAAATTTTTAAGGTAAATTTCTTGTAATGCATTTTATATTACTAAATTAAAGCATCTTCAAACATTTAGTTTTCGTTGCAAAATGGACAATGATCATTGTATCACTGTGACGCATTTCATAAATCCTCACTTATTTTGGTACAAAGCGATCGGTGCTCCTGATGAACAATTCCACGTGCTAAGCACTTTTGAACAGAGTTTAGTGGAACTTTATAAGAATAAGCCATCATGTGATAATTTCTTGCGTCCCCAAATTGGGGATAAAGTGGCGGTCAACTTCATAGCCTGGAATAAGTACATACGGGCTGAGATATTACAAAAAGCCGAATTCCAACAGGAGGAATATATAGTTTGGGCTTTAGATTATGGGTTTCCCTTACTAACGAAAAAAGAACATTTACGAAATTTGCCCAGCAATTTGCAAGTTGACATAGGTCACATACAAGTTGGCGGGATTGCAAATATTTATCCGGCCGAACAGGAATACGATGATATAGAAGGCAATTTGGTAATGATTAAAAAAGACAAGTGGTTACAAAAAACCTGTAATATGCTAGAAAAGCTCTTGACCGATGCCACCTCAATAAGTTTCGTCAAACACTTTCAAACCAACGATAACCATGTCTGGGGTGAACTGAGAATTTTGAACCACAAATGTGTAGAAATCAATGCACGTGACTATTTACTAAAGACCACGAACGCCATTGAAGTGAATGATTTGATTTTCAAAGAAACCTGTTCCAAATTTAAAACTATAAAAATTGCTCCTTGGCTTTCGAATGATCGTAATACCAAAATGAAATTCAATAATATAAAACACAATTACATTGAACATTCCAAACAAATGAATGCCACTCTGGTCGATGAGAATGCCAAACGTAAAGTAGAGGACTGGCAAGAACGAAATGAACGCAAGAAAATTGAAGCAGTATCCGAATTATTCGAATCTAGCTGTGAAATATCTGAGGATATTATAGATGATATTGCATTTGATGATTCCGTCTCAGTGGCAAATAATCAGGAAATTAATTATATTGGTAAAGCGGGGATGTTAACAAAAATCAAACAACAGAAGTATTTAACGGAAAAAGATTTGCCACCAACAGCTCTTCCGAAATCATTCGAAATCGAAAATATGATGTTTGATGTAAATTGGCCAATAGAAAATCCACAACCTTCATATTCTGGTTCACGTTCTGTTTCAACAAATGTTTCCTCACGCCTACAAAAACTTGCACAATTTACAGAGGCGGCGAGAAAAGAAACACATAATTCGAAACCTTTAATAGATTTGGACTCAACAGCATCCTCGACGGTTTCCAGTGTTAAATTGCGACAACAAAAGTTAATAGAATTGCGTAGAAAAGCTGCTCGTGCCGAAAAGGAGAATAAATTAAATGAAACGTCTTCGGGTCGCAGACAAAAGGTATGTTTTATGAAATTGTTTAAAATTTTTGTAGAAAATTATTAAAAATAAATAATTTTTCATATTATATTACACTTTTCATTATATAATATAAATGATCTTTGAACTGCTTTCTCAATAAAATTGGTACAATTCAGATTAAAAATATTTTGTGAAAAAATTTAATTTTTAGCTAAAATTTGGCTTTTTAGTGAAAAAATTTATTTTTAACGAAAATGTTTTATTTTAGTGATTATTTGAATTTTTAGTGATAATTTTTATTAAAAATTTATATTTCAATTGGTAATTAGAATTTCAAGCGAAAACTTAAAATTTTTGTAAAAAATATCGAATTGGATCATTGTCATATTCTGGATAACTTTACTATAGTCCAGACTATATACTAGACTATCGTACAGACTATACTATAGTCTATTTAATAACTTAAATTTCTTTATTTTATATTTATCAGAATCAAAATGAAACAACCAATTCTTCAATAAGTCAACCGAAAACATCCGATAGTTATTCATATCAATTGCTTGAACAATCATTAACTCTATCAACAAGTAACAATACTACAACCGATAATTTACAGGTTTGTAAATAAATAAAAATGTAATTTCTTAAAAAAAATTAAATATTTTTTTTTACAGGATAATAAAAGTGAAATATCAGTTAAAAATATAAGAGCTAAGCAGTTAATAGCAATGCGTAAGAAGTTTGGATCTTCAACATTTGCATCTTCTAATGAGGGCAGTCAAGTAAACACTCCTTCTGTGTCACAATTGTCTGCAAATAGTACGCAATCTAAGGTAATCAAATATTTAAGATTAATATAAAAAGATTTACTTTATTGTATACAATAAATAATTTTTAGATAAAACAAGAGGAAGGCATTGATATTTCACTATTTAAAAATTTAGACTTTCAACTAAAACCAAAAAGAATTTCAAAACCAGACGAACAAATTGTGAAGCTTAATGAAACATATTCATTTGCTACAGCTTCGACAAATACAACAAAGGATAAATTAAAGGTAAATGTTTATGAAATATTAATTTAAATATTTTTATAGCATTTATGTAATGACTCTGATTTTGTACTTTATGTTTTTTTTTTTAATATTTTCAGGTTTCTCAATCGGGGTATGACAGTCTTACAATGGTACCAGCTGGTTACGATATAACACGTTTGCAAAACTATAGGGATGAAGAAAATCATTGGCATCGTAAAAAATCTACTAGATACGACTGTGTACCACACGAACAAACCTCATCGACAGATGAATTACTTTCCAATAATACAAACGATCAAAGTTTCTCATCATCGGATTTTTTCCAAATGAAACCACCTAAACGATTAACCCAAAATACCCAATTAATTAATAAAACATATACTGATACTAACACTGAGCTGGACTCGCATAACATAAGATGTTCCCAACAACAGCAACGCGAGAAGTTATCAAATGAAGAATCTTTAATTAAGGGATTAAAATCAGACAATTACTTGTCAAGTGAGGTTTCAACGTAAGTGTTTTCTGAAATATTTCTTTTTATATCTTATTATTAACGACTCGTAATTCAGTTTAAAATGAATTTCTCTCATTAAATGAGTATGTATTATAATTATTATTTTTGTTACTTTTATTATACGAATGAATTTTTTATTTTTTATTTTACGAATAAAACTTTAAATTTTATTGTTAAAACTGTGTGGTTTCATTTGTTAATTAAATATGGATCAAGTCTGAGCTTTAACTAATATATATTTAAAAAGACACTAATTTACAGCTTTTTATTTTAAAATTGAATCAAGTTTTATAAAATAAAATTCCAAATTTTTTTTTTTAATTAAATTTTAATACGATTATTGCTAAATGAAATTTTTAATTT